TTATAAGACTCTGGACAAGTCATTTCCTATCTCTAGGCCTCAGCTTCCTCACCAGTAAAAGTGGGTTGGACTTGAAAGCTCTCTGTAAGTGGGAATTGACTTTATTCCTGGAGTCTGAAGAGCTGAAGTCTATGCCCAGCAGGGACACTTGGGAGTCTTGAGGGTGGACAAATCACTTCACACATCAACTCTGCCTACTTGTTAGCCTTGTGGGGGAAATGCTTTGTGAGCTGTAAAGACAGGCTAGAGGTAGATGCTGGGGTTGTCCCGATTGTGGCTTCCCTGTAGCCAGGGAAGTAAGTCAAGGTGAGATGGCCTAGAGGACTCCTAGCCTGTAAAAGGTGTGGTGGAGGGGAATGGAAGCCTGGGCCCTGGAGCCAGCTCCTATTGGCTAATTATTCGTTTTTTGGTGTGAACATTTACACCTCAGAACACAGGTTAGGATGGAAAGCAGGGCCTGACTGGTTGTTCTGTTGGTTGTCAGCACTTAAGAAGGGGGGGGGTATTAAAAATGCATATTAAACTTAGAAGTGTGTCCTGCCATCCATTTCCCTAAAGAGTGATGAATGTTAGTTACCAGCCTCCCATAGGATTGGAGAGAAAATGAAAAGTGTGGACAAGATGGCCTTTTTGGTCCCTTCCAGTTCCAGAGCTCTGACCCACACACAGCCCAGCAGCCAGGGCTCAATTTGGGGCCATGGAGCTGCGTGGGGGGGGGGGAGAGATGGGGGATGGGGGTTAACTCTTTAGTCTCGGCTATCCATCTTCCCTGGGCCTGAAAGATGTCTGATAGGGCTCATCCACTCTCAGCAGGCTACAAGTGACCTCCCCCCACCATACTCATGGAGTCTCTTGCAGGCAGAGAAGCCTTGATGCCGGGACCACAGACAACAGGTGCAGACTCAGGTTGCCTTGGGACCCACCTCCCTCCTTAAATATGAGAGAATCAGTCCCCTGGTTGGGAGGGCCCTCCACAGGCCATCTAGTCCACACTCATCTTCTAAGCCAGCCCAACAGTCATCATAGCTAGTGTCTCCAGAGTCCTTTAAGGTTTGCAAAGCACTTTACATTGACCTTTGCAACAACCCTGAGAGATAGATGAATTACCCCCCATTTTACAGATGAAGAAACGAGGCACAGGTTAAGTGATCTCACATGATGGGGGGGGGGTGAGGGAAATACCACCAGACCTAGAGTCCAAAGACCTGAGTTTAAGTCCTGTCTTGGGCATTTAGAAACTATGCAACCTAGTATCAATCACATTCCCTCTCTGAGCCTGTTTCCTCCTTTGGAAGATGGGGGTGGTAATCCCTGCCTCACCTACCTCCCAGGATAAATACTTTTGTCACCAATAAAGTGCTCTAAAATCCCAGCAATGACTACTAATCCCAACCCATCAGAAGCCCCATCCCCCATGTTGGGACCACATCTGCCCTTCCTCTCCAGTGAAACCTGTCTAGTTCCATTTTGCTCCTGGTCTCCCAGTTCCCCATCCAATTCCCATTCTCCCAGCATTCCTGGCTCTGGCTGAGAATTGTCTGGGGAGCCTAAAGCTGGGGCATCCACAAGGGCAGACAGCCTCTCCCTGACAGGGGCCTCAGCACTGCCTCCCCCTCCTACTTTCAGCTCTTCTTGGGCCCTCCTAGGGGCTCTTAAGGACCAAATTTCTGATGCCTGTCAGCTCCATAGGATGTTTACTGTCCTGTTCTCTCTCCTTGCTATCCTGTTCCACTTCTTGCTCCTTAGCTTGTGACTGGATGCCTCCTTGCAGCCCTTCCTTCTCTTTCAGAGGTGGGGGAGGGGCAATCTGTGGAGCTGGGCCATCTTCAGGCTGATATTATTAGGGACCGTCAGGTCACACCCCTGCTCAAAAATCCTTGTTGGTTCCTTATGGCCTGCAGAGTGAAATGCAAACTCCCTCATCTGGGATTCAAGGTCCTTCATAATCTGGGGCCACCAGGAGCATGATTCAATGGGGGAAAAAGGGCTAGACCAAGGACCTGGGGGCAAGTCCCTCTTAGCCTCAGTTTCCTGTTCTGTAAAGTGAAGATGGACTAGATGACCTCAAAGGTCCCTTCTGGCTCCAAGTCTCTGGTGAGCAGGGCTTCCAGATTCTCAGCTGAGACACTCCTCCACGTGGACGAGGCTGGGAGCCAGCTTTTGGAAAGACATGATGACTTATAACGGAAGGGCCTCGCTCCCCAATGTGGAGCATGAGCGGCTATTCTGTAACTGGTTCTGGCCTGCTAACTCCAAGATGAAGAGACAGACTTCCATTGGCCGTGTCGGCCCATGGCTGGGTGGGACACTAAGTGGCCAAAGAGACATCAGTCCTCATTCTTAACTGGCTGCACTCAAATGAGGAGGCAGGGGCTAAGCCCTTGGCCGGGAGAGAGCCCTTGCGCCTTCACCTCCTCCCTCCCTCCCCCTCGGGGCCCTGTGGCCCAGGAGCACTTGCTGCTGTCTCTCTTGTGTTTGTTCTTCCTGATTTATAGGTGAAGGAGTATTGGAGACGTCTGCACCCTTGTGCGCTTCGAAAGGTCAGAATGGCAAACCCTCCAAGGTCTGGGAGCCAGAGATTTGCCAGAAGCCAGATGGTGAGAGGCGAAGTCCCTAGCAAAGATCAAAGGCAGTCAACTCTGGCAAATTCAGAAGTGAACTTGGGGGAGGGCTAGCGTCGCAGCTGGCGTTGGGAGGAATGTGCGCACCTCTGGGCTTACTGGACCTTCTCGGGAAATATCCCTCTGTTAAAGCTCAGTGATGTTCATTGGTTAAGTAGAATTGGGCCCTTAAGCAGTAATGGCTACCAGGGGGTGGAGAACACACAGGAATTGAGGCTTGAGTCAATGACCTAAAGAACGACATCCCCGTCCTCAGGGGAGCTCCTAGAACCCTGAGAGAGAGCCGTGGCCAGCCTAATTCCTGAGTCCCGAACAACTGGGGGCGGGGGGGGGGGGGATAGAGAAGGGAGGGGTGGGGCTTGGGAGAGTAATTGCAGAGCATTGCTACACTTGGAGCTTGAAGGCTTAATTGAAGTTTGGGTTTGTGGAAGCCCCCTGAGGGCAGGGGCAAGGTCTTCTCTCCTTCTGTATCTTCCCCAGTATGGAGCGCGGCTCTCTCCATGGTGAGCATTTGCTAAATGTTTGTGGCATTGAACTGAAAGCTGTAAGGAAGGGCATCAGACGGCTCCAGCTCAGGGCACTGAAGCAGCCCCTCTCACGCTTTTGTCTCTTGATCTGAAGTCTTGCATTGTCTCCGCATCAAGTCTGCTCTGCCGGCTGGCTGCTTGAGCCTGTCATCAGTCTAGTGTGCTGCTGGTGAAACCTCGGTGAAGGAAGGATGCACCCACTGCTGGCTCAGTGGTTGGAGCTGGTGCCGAGGGCTTTATCTTCCTTTTTTCTGCTCCTCCTCCCACCCCCTAGTCCCCTCCAGCTCCAACCAGGACTTCCGGAGGGGCCCTGGTGCCTCGGGGCCTGATGCTGTGTGGCTCTGCCTAGATGTGTGGCAGGGAGAGGAGCGCAGAGGCGGACAGGCTCCACCAGGATTTAGACTTAGCTGGCTACCTCCTTTCCTGTTCTCTGTTCCTCAGACTCCTCTGTTTCTCCTCTTGGTTTTGCCCAGTTGCGTTGGATTCAGACTTTTGGGACTCATCCTAGCTCCTCCCCACAGGAGTGTGAGTATTCTTCCCCTTTTTGCCCAAGCCCTGGAGAGATCAGAGTAATGCCCCTTGACTTTCTGACGGACTTCCCCAGAATGCCCAAGCTCATGAGTCTTTAGCACTTTTAGAGTTATACAGCGCTCTCCTCACAACAGGTATTAACATCCCTGTTTCTCCAGAGAAACCAACCGACTCACGGCAGTGCTACCGTTCCCCCAGTCCCACAGCCAGAAGCGGTGGAGGCTCCCTCCCCTGCCCCATACCCATTCCTGGTAAAGTCAGCCTGGTAGTGAGCAAAGCCTCAGCAGAGCTGATGCCGAGATCCCTCCCCACCCCCAACAGCTGGTGCTGTCGCCAAAGGATCTCTGCCATTTTCCAAGAGGCCATGCTGGTCTTTTGCACGGGTTCTTTGCCTTTTGGACGTCCTGGATCCTTCCTCTGAACAAGGTTTATGTTGTTTAAAATTCATAATTGAAGGAAGCAGTCAATTTTTCTAAGAGGTTAATGAAACTAAAGATGTCATTTTTTTTCCCCATCAAAGTTCCTGGACCTACTGAAATCTGTCCCTGTTCTCCTTGGAGGCCAAGAACCCCTGAGGTAGTAGAAAGAAGAGACTGAGTTTAGTGTTTAGAAACAGAGACCATAGGGGCCAGTACTAGCTCTTCCATTATTTCCTCCTTGTGGGGCCTTGGGCAAGTTGGCGCCCCTCTCTGGAATTCAGGGGAGAATGCAGGGGACAGTTAGACTAGAGGACCTCAGAGGGCCTTTCTTTTTAGACAGCCCCAATCCTCTAAGCTTCTGAAGGCTGAGCCAGGGGAACTGGCCCTGAGCTGGGCAGGTCTTCTAGAGAAGCCCAAAGCAAAACAAGGCATAGACTTTCATTGAGGGAGGGGAGTAAATAGGGGACCTGTGAAAGGAAGAGATGCAAGCTGGGGAAGGACATTAGAAAAGGAGTAAGGGCTAGGTGGCAGAGGGCAGAGCACACAAACCCATCTTCTCAGGGAATATGAAAAGGCATGCCCTGGGGCAGGGATGGAAGCAGCAGCTGCAGCTGCATGGAGAGGCCCGGGGACAAGAGGGCACCAGTGAGGGGAGAAGGCTGAGGATGAAGCAGAGTGGAGCTGGGCCTTGAGGATGCCAGGAGCCTCCCGGGGCAATGGGGGACCCAAGCCCTGAGCAGAGCTCTGGGGAAGGAGGGTTGAGCTCTCCAGCCCTGCTGGAAGCTCTTCCCAAGCAACTGGTAAACTACATATTTGTTTGCAAGACTGCTGCAGTGAGGGGGAGGCTGGAGGCTGGGCTTGGCTCTGGGCTCCCAGCTCCCAGCAGCCAGCTCCCGGCTCTGGGCTTGGGCTGCCCTGCCTGAACTGCTCACTCCTGCCAGGCCAAGCCAAGCCAAGCCAGGGGCTCCTTGCCTCATTTGGCTGCCTCTTCTGTGCCCTCTGAGTTTCCTGGGCTCCTTCTACTGGCAAGAAAGGCAGTGCCATAGACAGAGACCCCCCAGTGGAATGCTCAAGGCCAGGCTGGGAAGGAGAGGGCTCTTGACCTCTGCGGGCGGGCAGCAGCAGCTCTGAGCAAGAACTCCAGCTCCAGAGGAGAAAATGAAACTGAAATCCTGCCCACGGAAAGCTCGTCCAACTGGAGCGCTCCTTTAATCCATGTACTAATTTATTCAGAGCACAACAGCTGCAGGAGGAGAGGCCCAGAAGAGGGGAGCCTAGGCTGGGGCCTGGGGCCTGTGAGAGAGGGGAATCCTGGGCCGCCAAGCAGGGTAGGGAAGCACAGGCCTCCTCAGGCCTCCTGTGGTGGGCAGGCCAGGCCTAGCAGAGACAGCTCACTGGAGGGAAGGCAGGAAGAGAAGGGCTCCTGGAGGGTCCAGTGGGGTAGTGAGGGTCCAGTCCCGGTAAGTTCTGTTCTGGAGCTGAAAGCTGGGAGAGCAGAGGTGGGGAGGGGACTCCTAGTGGCTGTGGCACTGACTCCAGCATAGGGCAGATGGTCACTGGCATGGGGCATTCTTCCCTACTGAAGGCAGCCTGGGCCAAGGTCCTTTAAGATGAAGGGAGCTGGAGCTTTGGAGTCCACAGAAGGCCATGAACAGATGTGTGTATGTAGAAGGCAACTACGGGGAATCTTCTTTTTCTGCTCCTCAGTTGGAGACAGAAGTAGAGAGAAAATTGGGGTGCCTAAATCCAGGCCCCATAGAGGGGAAGGCAAGGGGAGGGAAGGGATGAGCCTGGGGGGTGATGGCAAGGGAGCCAAGAAGCAAACATTGGTAGCAGGTGGGTGAGGGGAAGTCTAGGGGAAGTTCAGGAAACCTCTTTCCCTGTGGCTCTTCCCTCCTCCCTGAGCTTTCCCTCCCCTTTCCTCCAGTTCTGAATCTATGTTCCTATTAATGTTCTTTCTTTTCCTTGTCTCCTCTCCTCTTCCCTGCCCTCTATGCCTCTCTCTCACAGTCTTCTCCTCATTCATCTTCTTTTCCTCCTCTTCCTTTCCTATGCTTCACTGTCTCCTCTTGCTTCCCCTTCCCTTTCCTTCCTTTTCTTTTATTCACCCCTTCATCTTCCTCCTGGCCTTCATTTTCACTCAGGACCTTCTCCAATTTCCAGAGGCCAACCTGACCCCCCCACCCCCAGGACTTCTTCAAGAGGCCACCCCCACCTTGGACTAATACCTTCTGCTTCCTGACCAGATACTTCCCACCATGCCTCCACCTGCTCCTGCCTATAGGAAAGTTGGCCTTCTGGCCCTCAAAGGATGCAAAGGATACCAAGTGTGATGAGGATGGGCCTTGAGGGAGGTCCTTGGACAGTCTCCTCACCTGCTTTTTCAACATAGAAAATCCCACCATAAGGCGTCCACTCTTCTCCCATTGGTAAGTTTCTCCTAGAAGGAGGCCAGCCTTAATTCCCCTCCAGGTCCTATTGCTGGCTTCCTCATACCTTCCCACACACATACACAAACACCCTGCTTTTGACGTCTCTTGTATGATGTCTTCCCCCATTAGAATGAAAGCTTCTTGAGGGCAGGGACTATTTTGCTTTTGGCTTGTATTTGTATTTCTAGAGCTTAGCACTGAAATCCTTGCTTCCTTCATTCCTTTCTTCTCCACCTTCTCTATCTCAATCCCTTGGAGAACCAGTTCGGCTATCATTTATTCTCGAGTTACTTCCCCCTTTATCCTATTGCCATCATGCCTTGCTAAGCCCAAACCTGGGATTCTTTTCACTGTCCACTGCCTTCACTCTGCTTCATATGAAGAAAAATCACAAAACCTTGCTGACTGGGTCCACAACAAATTTATGTTACATAATCTCAACTGGGCCCTCACTGCAGCAGGGCAATCCACCCTAATCTATTCATTATCTCAGTCATCACTGTGGCTATTCCAAACATTTTCACCTCTCTTTAAACCTCTTGGCTGAGAACTCTGCTTCGTGGTTCACTGAAAAAATTGAGATTGTTTGCTAAGAGCTCCCTCTCTTCCCCTCTTCTTCCTCTTACCTCGCTCAGATGATTTCTGCCACTGTGTCCTCATTCACCCCTATCTCACGTGAAGAGGCGACCCTTCTCCTTTCCAAGGAAAATACCTCTACATGCAAAAGTGACCCCATTCCATCCTCTCTCCCTGACTACTGGCTGCCTCCCTCGTGTCTACAAACATGTTCATGTCTTCTCCATCCTTCAGCATCCTCATCTGATATAACCATGTCTGCCTAGCTATCTATCCTAACTTTCCTGGCTAAACACTTTAGAAAAAAAGCTTCTAACTCGACTCCTCCTTTGCTTCTCCTCTCACTCTATCACTGCCTTTTGGACATATCAAATTAGATGTCCTGTAAGTATCTCAAACTCAACATGTGAAAATCCCCCAAACCCCTACCTCTTCTTAACTCTTTTATTGCTATTTAGAGAGCTACCATCTTTCCAGCCACCCAGGCTCAAAGTCTGGGTGTCATCCTCAACTCCCCCCTCAATTCAATAAACTCCAGAATTAAACAGAAGTGCTTCTGCTGTGCATCTTCAAGCCCCTCCTAACCTGCCCCCTTCCCACCTTCCCAGTGGCTTCCACTTTCTTCCCTGCAGGTTCTCTGAGGTTCGTGGACACAACGCTCACCTACTGACTCTACGCCTTCCTTTGCGCTGGGCATCCCCAGGCCTGGATGCTCGACATTGTCACTTCAGCTTTTTTCAAGACTCAGCTGAAATCCCATGATCTGCACAAGCCTTTCCTACCCCCCACTTTGGCCTGCTGGTGCCTTTGCCCTGAGATGACCTTCTATTTGTATTCTGTGTGTCGTGTGTTTGCATGTTGTCTCCCCCATTAGAATGGGAGCTACTTGGGGACAATGTTTTGCCTCTCTTTGTATCCCTCAGCACTTAGCACAAGGCCTGGCACATAGTAAATACTTACTGATTGATTAAAAAATTCTTTGTTACAAAGGGTGGCTTGGGGTAGGGTGGGGGAAGGGGATGCAAGGGGAAATTTGGGTTATGTAAAACCAAAAGATATAAATAAAATTGATTAAAAATAAATGCTTGTTGAATAACTGGCTCAGTCCCCCAAGCCCCTCTCTTCCCCGCCCCCTCCTCCAGCATCCTTCTCATATCGCCCTGCGTCCTCTGCTCTCCATGTTCTGACCCAGCTGCTGACACTCTACTGCTCTCAGGGTGTGGCTTGTACAGTGAGGAACGGGGGTTTGTTGTAAAGTGTAAGCTCCCAGATTATAGGGCTAACCCATTTCTGTAACCCACGACATGGGGCCCCACATGAATGGGGCTCAATCTTGGCAACTTCTCTTTGGCTCATGATAGCACCCAAGGTCTCCCTTGGGAAGATTATACTTTTTGCTTGTGTCCAGGTCCTGACTCCTAAATTCCTGGCCAAGCATTCAGGCTAACGAAGCACTGAATATGAGACAGGCCTTATTTAACCCAACAGACAGTGAAAAGGACTTATATCTTAACCTACAAACAGTTAAAAAACAATTCTTCTTCCTTCTCTCCCCAGGGCCTTACATAATCCTCAAGCTTTATTCTGCCGTCCTGGAGTGAGGGCTCCCTAATACACAAAAAACTTTCAGTGTTAGTAGAAAATTAGGACATTGGGGCAGCTAGGTGGCACAGTGGATAGAGCACTGGCCCTGAAGTCAGGAGGACCTGAGTTCAAATCTGGCCTCAGACTAAACACTTGACACTTACTAGCTGTGTGACCCTGGGCAAGTCACTTAACCCCCATTGCCTCCCTAAAAAAAATTTTTTTAAAAAGAAAAAGAAAATTAGGACATCTTCCTATCCAGTGATCTCCACCTTCCCCAGGATCTATACAATTCCATATAATTACAGAGGTTGAGCTGACCTGCTCAGTGATAGCACCTAGGATCACTAAAAGGTGGAGTCTTTTCCCTGAACCTGCATGGTCAGTCAGGTAAAAAGCATTTATTAAGTACCTCCTCTTTGAAGGGCAAGTCAAACAGTTAGCCTAGGTGAGTTTATACCTTAATAACAACAACATTCACAACAACACTAAAGAACAGCTAAATGCCTACAAAAGGGAGCTGTCTATCCACCTGTGCAATTGTGTAGAAGACATTAAATGGAAAAGAGCAATAGGCGGCTGCTCACTTGTCCCTAGGACTATTTCTGTATGAAGGCCATTGACAAAGGTGAGAAGAATAGAATGATCATAATAATTGTAAAAACCTCTCAAAACCCATCCTATCGCCATACTGTGGAGGAAAGGGGCGTGAATGGCCACATGGAAAACTGTTCTCTATTTCAAACATTCTATCCACATAAAAAAATGGTACAAAATGGGACACTTTTAAAGGAGCTTAGCTCTAAACTCATTATCATCGCTCCTAAATCAATTAATAAACATTTATTAAGCACCTACTACATGCCAGGCACTGGGCTAAGTGCTAAGGATACAAAAAGAGGCAAAAGACAGTCCCTGCCCTCAAGGATCTTATAATCTAATGGGGGAGACAAATATATAGAAATATATAAAAAACAAGCTGGAGACAGGAGAAATGGGAAATCATTAGTGAAGGGAATACCCTAGAATTAAGAGGAGTTGGAGGAGTTTTTCTGTAGAAGGTGGGATTTTAGCTGGAACTTAAGGAAATTGGGGGGATTAGGACAGCAAGTGGTGAATTGTGGGAATTGAGTGGACCACACTGACTCCATCTAGTGACTCCATTCTGGATCCAGCTCAGTTCCCTTTCCACTTATTACAGGTCTAGTCCAACTTCTGTCTTGTGAGAAGACTTTATTCACTTGTGAGAATTGGGAGAAAACCTTATTGCATTGTTTGGACCTGGCCCTGCCTGGCTGGGAAGCTGGACCACCCCTAGCTGCTGCCTGGAGACCCTTAACCAAGGACCTTGGTTAAGCTGGTCAGAAACCCAGTCAGATCCAAAGATCGATGCAAGGAGTTTTCTCACAATTGTCCATCTCAAGCAACCCGTGTGTCTCCTCTGAAATCTGGCCCCATCCCAATCAGTCAGTGATTGTTTCCATGATCCTTTCACTGTTCCCAGGCACCTGGGGGGAGGGGGACACCTCTTTTTCTGATTTCAGAGAACTGCACCTGTTTACTCTCCCCCTCCCAACTTGGAAAGGGCCAAATCTTTCCTCCAGTTAGACATCAGATCAGCTAATGCATTGTTTCCTTTGAATGAATTGGTCTTATTTGATGAACTGTTTTTAATGTATAAAGGGCTGTCTCCCCCCGTATTTGGGGTCCAGCCCTAAGCCGAGGAGGCCTGGTCCCACTTCACTGGGCAGTTGGCAGCGTTGCTTAATGAATCAGTATGCCCGGAAGCTCAAACCTCTGTTTCCACAGCCATTTCATCTTTCACCCACTACAGACTTAAAGGAAGCCAGGGTGGTCAGTAGTCACATACGGGGAGGGAGAGGAAATGGGTGACAGAAATTGCTGGGAGCTGTGAAATGGAGGGCCTTGTTTGTGGAACAGCTAGGAGGCCAGTTCACTGAATCAAACAGTAAATGCATTGTGGGGAGTAAGGTATTAAAAGCCTGGAAAGTTAGGAGGAAGCTAGGTTATGAAGGGCTTTGAATGCCAAATAGAGCAATTTGTATGTGACCTGGAGACAATAGGGAGCCACTGGAGTTTATTGAAGAGGGGGGTGATGTAGTCAGACCTAAACTTTAGGAAAATTACTTTGGTAGCTGAATAAAGGACCATTTCCTCACAAAATGGGAGGAAGAGGATTGAATGACATTCAAAGAGCAAATGCGAGATGAGGCAAAGACTTATAGAAATACTCTTGGAACAAAAAGACTTCGTGTCACTGAGCAATACTCACAAGATTGGAAAAATCTAACCCGAAGTCATTTATCTGCAGATAGAGCTGTGAAGATCCCAACTCCATGAAGATCCAAGATCCAAGAACAGAATCAGAAAGAAGAACTGATTTTCAACAGTCAGAAGTGTGGCTTCAGGGCATTGTAGGCTGAAGGATGGGACTGCGAACTGGCTGAGTGCAGGAGGTGGGAGAGGAAAAGAGGGAGGATGGGAATAGCTAGCAGGTCAATTTGGCTGAATAAGACCACAAAGGGAGGTGGAAGCCAGATGGCAGAGGGACTTCCACTCAGGGTGAGAAGTTTTGGATTTTATCCTACAGGCAGGGAGGAGTTACTGAGGGATTGTGAGCAAAGGAGCTATCTGGTCAGACCTGGGCTTTAGGAAAATCCCTTTGGTGGCTGAATGGAGGATGGATTAGAGTGGAGAGAGACCCAGGAGTTATTGCAGTAGTGCAGGGGCAAGGTGATGAGGACCTGAACCATGCAGTTGGCAGTGTCAGAAAAAATCTGGGAGGCTTATGAGGCAATATGAGTCAACAGTGTGAAATGATGGCCACCAAAGCTAAGGTGACCATAGGCCCTGCTAACAGAAGCAGAGTACCCCAAAAGGATGTGGTAATAGTACTTCTGTAGCCTGTTCTAATCAGATCCCATTTGGAGCACTGGGCTCAGTCTGCATACCACATTTTAGGAAGGCATTGACACTCCAGATGAGAGAAAGCAGGATGGTGAGGAGCATGCTGTATGAAGATTGGCTGAAGAAACTGAATATCCCTCTGGCCTAAAAAGGCCCACCAGAGATGAAAGGGATTCCCTCTAGCTATGTGTGGGTTTAGGGGCAAGCTGGTTGTGCTTTCTGTTAGGTTTGGCAGAATTTGTCTTGTATTTGATGCTGTATTAGCTTGAGTGCTTGCACAGTATCTGAGGACCTTTTCTTTCTGTTGTGATGACCTACACAGGAGTAAAGTTCTGATATTACTGGGGGAGCCCCCAGGGGGGGCACAAGCCATATCAGAAGATATTTAGAGAGCATCTCTAATAGTCCATTCGAGTTCAGACATTTGTGTCAGGGAAGATTTCAAAGAGGATACAGCCAAAATTTGTGCAAGATGAGAAGGTACACACAAGTTGGGATGGACGCTGTTGGAAAAGGCTCTCACATCAATGACTAAAAATGTAAGCTTCTCAAGGGCAGCGACTGTCTCTAGTGCCTGGATGCTTTATAGATGCCTAGTGAATTGGAATGAATTGAATGAAATCACAGACTCATTGTGAATTATAGATAGGCACAAGAAATTCAGGGCTCACTGGGGAGGAAGGGTAATTATTTAAAGAACGAAGACCGTTCTTTCAAAGGCCCAAACATTCCAATGGTCCCCACATGAGAGTAATTATAATATTATTATAAGGCTATGATCCATGACCATGGATTCACAAGGAAGGTCTTGATGCTTTTAAATTAATCCAGGGAATATAGGAGTTGTATTCCCACATGGTCTCAAGTACCCAGCTATTTTCCACTTAGTGGAGAAGAGTCCTCCTTCACACATAGCTGAACCCTTCTCTTGCTTAAATCATAGAATAGACTAAAAGCTTAGAGGTGACAGGTATCTCAGCAGGGGACATCAAGTCCAACCTGCTCCTGAGTAGGAATCCACTCTATGACATCCCTATGAAGGACTTATTCAGCCTCTGCTTGGAGACCTCCATGGATGTGTAATTGGAAAAAATACTATTAAAAACATTAATGGAGCGGAGGGCTACGAATAGGACATTCTGGAGGGCAAAGGAGCTAGGATTACAACCAAGAATTACCTACCCAGCAAAACTGAGTACAATCCTTCAGGGAGGGAAATAGGCATTTAATTAAATAGGGGACTTTGAAGCGTTCCTGATGAAAAGATGAGAACTGAATAGAAAATCTGACTTTCAAATACAAGACTCAAGAGAAACATAAAAAGGTAAACATGAAAGAAAAATCATAAGGGATTCAATTGTTTATGTTCCTACATGGGTAAATGATACTTGTAACTCCTAAGAACTTTAT